TGCAATATCTCAGCCGTTTCTGGGCCGATTTAGCTGAAAGTTGGACTGTCGGTGGTAGTGTAGGGTAGTGTAGTGTAGGGTAGGGTAGGGTAGGTAGGGTAGGTAGGGTAGTGTTGGGTAGGGTAGGGGTAGGGTAGGGTAGGGTAGGGTAGGGTAGTGTAAGGGTAGGGTAGGGTAGGGTAGGGGGGGTAGGGTAGTGGTAGTGTAGTGTAGGTAGGGTAGTAGTGTAGGGTAGGGGTAGGGTAGGGTAGGTTAGGGTAGTGTAGGGTAGGGTAGGGTAGGGTAGGGTGAGGTTAGGGCAGGGTAGTGTAAGGGTAGGGTAGGGTAGGGACTAGGGTAGGGTAGGGTAGGGTAGGGACTAGGGTAGGGTAGGGTAGGGTAGGGACTAGGGTAGGGTAGGGTAGGGTAGGGTAGTAGGGTAGGGTATGGTAGGGCAGGGTAGGGTAGGGTAGGGTAGGGTAGTAGGGTAGGGTATGGTAGGGCAGGGTAGGGTAGTGTAGGGTAGAGTTAGGTAGGGTAGAGTTAGGTAGGGTAGGGTAGGATAGGGTAGGGTAGGGTAGGGTAGTAGGGTAGGGTAGGGTAGGTAGGGGGTAGGGTAGGATAGGGTAGGGTAGGGGTAGGGTAGAGGTAGGGTAGGGGTAGGGTTGAGTTCAAAAAGGGCCCAACATACAAAACACTGGAACACCCCGCAACTTTCACCATCCCTTACAGTTCAATTAAAAACAGCTACCCAAATCCACCCAAATAATACAGCTAAAAATACAAGTCAGTCACCCAAACTAATGCACCCGTAACATAATATAAATCAAAACATACAGTTATCGCGTAAACCTGTACCTCTAGTATGGTTGCTAAATTCGAATTCAGCTCCAAAAACTGGTCTAGTAACATGTAAAACTCGAAAAAGTGAACCGAGGTCATCAAAGGTCAATGACCTGACCTGACCTTCAGGTGACCTTGACACCCACCCTTATGCATGGGGGCAACATCATATCACATGTTTGAACGCTTGAAACCACGAAAAGACTGCAAACGCGCGGCTAATGCGAGCCGACATACGCCGAATCGCGATTCCGGCCAAACATGGTCTCGAAAAGTAGGTCACAGGTCAAAGATCATTCGGGTCAGGGTCATGAAATTTTCAGGGTTGGTGTAAAATTGATGAACGCGAGGGTACTGAAAGTTTCGTCGCGATCGGCCGCTTTTTACGCGAGTTATTTGCGAAAAACCATGGGGGGGTCCATTCGACCCCCCCCCCCTATACGGGCGAGGGTTAAAAAGCAAAACCAACCACTGTTTTACTGGAGAGCCGTACACGCGCACGCGCACGCACATACACTGACCATGAGGAGGACAGTGGAGAGTTGCAGCAGGAACTGTGACGTCACGTCGTCGCTGGTGCACGGCGCCTCTGTGTCGAAGAAGTTGACGGGCCAGGCGTCGATGTGCACCGGCTCCCGCCGTTTCCTGAAGATGTCACAGTGCAGAAGAGCGCCGTCACCAAACAAGATCACAAATCAACCTCGTAGTACCCAGTTTACAATGCCAACAGTTTCGTTAACCGATGCTCGTTTGCTAAGTGTAAAATTCCAACACCAGGGGCACAGCGTGTGACTGTCGGCTAATACCGAGAGGTGCCGCTGACGCTCGACTAGGGTTCGAGCCGGGAGAGTCTGCCAGCCAGCAGCGCCCGCTACTCACAGCCGGGCCGCCAGCTCCTTCTTGTTGAAGTTGTGGAAGTTGCGACAGAGGCAGACGTTTTTGTCCATCTTGATGAGGTCCCGGACCATCTGGACGTACTCGTCGGCGGACAGCTGCCCGTCCTGGTCGGCGCCAGTGCGCAGTCGGTCCGGGTGGAACGCCGAGTCGGCGGCTGACTGGAGGTCCGACATGCGCAGCACGTCCAGCTCCCGGCTACTGCCGCGCACCGACACACACCGACAGCGTGAGTGGGGACACACACGGACACACACACCGACAGCGTGAGTGGGGACACACACGGACACACACCGACAGCGTGAGTGGGGACACACACGGACACACACCGACAGCGTGAGTGGGGACACACACGGACACACACACCGACAGCGTGGGTGGGGACACACACGGACACACACCGACAGCGTGAGTGGGGACATACACGGACACACACCGACAGCGTGAGTGGGGACAAACACGGACACACACACCGACAGCGTGAGTGGGGACACACACGGACACACACCGACAGCGTGAGTGGGGACACACACGGACACACACACCGACAGCGTGGGTGGGGACACACACGGACACACACCGACAGCGTGAGTGGGGACACACGGACACACACCGACAGCGTGAGTGGGGACACACACGGACACACACCGACAGCGTGAGTGGGGACACACACGGACACACACCGACAGCGTGAGTGGGGACACACACGGACACACACCGACAGCGTGAGTGGGGACACACACGGACACACACCGACAGCGTGAGTGGGGACAAACACGGACACACACCGACAGCGTGAGTGGGGACACACACGGACACACACCGACAGCGTGAGTGGGGACACACACGGACACACACACCGACAGCGTGGGTGGGGACACACACGGACACACACCGACAGCGTGAGTGGGGACACACACGGACACACACCGACAGCGTGAGTGGGGACACACACGGACACACACCGACAGCGTGAGTGGGGACACACACGGACACACACCGACAGCGTGAGTGGGGACACACACGGACACACACCGACAGCGTGAGTGGGGACACACACGGACACACACCGACAGCGTGAGTGGGGACAAACACGGACACACACCGACAGCGTGAGTGGGGACACACACGGACACACACCGACAGCGTGAGTGGGGACACACATGGACACACACCGACAGCGTGAGTGGGGACAAACACGGACACACACCGACAGCGTGAGTGGGGACACGGCTGTATCGGGCAAACGGCCGGCCGGACCACTACACTGGCCGGTCCGCTGTAGCCCGTCCATAACTACTAGTAGGATTGTAGCAGGGGCGTCGCCGACGGGGGGGGGGGGGGGTCGCAGGGGTCGCGACCCCCCACTCATGAGAACCGGGAGGGGGGTCGACCCCCCACTTTTGACGATGCTGAGTATGCCTGTTTGAGCTATCTTGTCAGTGAAGTTGGCGTCAGTAACATCACCAAATACAACGTCAGATTCAAAATCGCTTCAAGAGCTCCCTAGTCCGTGGAACATCAGCATGACAATATATTAAAGTAGTCACTATTCTAGTCCCTTTTTATCCCTCAAAGGAGTGGGCGCGCCAAAACTGACCCAATCGTTCGTCTGAACTCTGATTGTCAAAATAATGGTTGCAGTCGATTCGTCGGATGACGTATCAGCAACTACGAGGTACCTACCTAGCCTCAGCCCTGGCTAGTGGCTACCGTCCGACCTGCCTGCATAGGGGGAAGGGGGTCAGATAGTGGACCCCTCTCGGGCTTTCCCAATAAGACGCGCAAAAGGAGCATATTGCAACGAAACTTCCAGTGACCTCGAGTTAACCCACGAGCCGCTGGGGGGGGGGGGGCATAAAGTTGCCCCCCCCCTTTACGTTTTGTGAAATATCTCCGAAACCTGATGAGCTACGAACGTGAAACTTGACATAGCTTCAAGTGAATACCTAGGCAATGTTTGAGGAAAGTTTGGTGGTTGTAGCACCTAAGATGACGTCACAGTGACGTCATAAAGTTTTGTCGTTTTCCGATATGGACCGTTTCTGATGACGCTGAGCATGAAACTCAACTGTAAATGAACTAGACAGCACCTGCTGTCATCCTAAAACATCTAACTACACTTCCATCTAGTTTCTGACCAATAATCGACCCTTTATATTCGGTCCCATATATCTGATGTATCGTGAGGGATATGAGAGTCGCAAATCTATAATTTCACTTATGACGTCACTGTGACGCCATTTCAAATGGGATCGACACCACATTTGGACACAACCTCGGCTAGGTATTCAGGAAGACGTGTGCAAAGTTTCGCTTCTCTATCTCTTCGCGTTGCGACGATATCGTCGCAGAAGTAAGGGGGGGCAACTATATGCCCCCCCAGCGGCCGGCGGGTGGCGCGGAGGCCCAGCGGCCGCCGGGTTAATCAATTTTACACCTACCCTAAAATTTATTGGACCTGATTCGAATATAGATAACCTTTTTTATAAATTTAGTCCGAATCTTTTGATGGGAAGGATTCACAAGGACAGAGCCACCGCTAAGCGAAGCTTGGTTCACTTTTTCGAGTTTTATTTGCTTCCACTTACACTTGTACATAGTTTTTGGAGCTGATTTCGAGTTAAGCGCCCGTTTGAACATAAGAAGTAGGTTTGATAAATGGTGGTTATGTAGCATGTTACGAAGCTATCGGTGGTGATTGTCACCTACTCTAGATGGCCGGCAGGAATCCTGTTGGTCGGCCTGACCTGACCCGACCCGATCTACCCCAAATGCATGGAGTCATCATCGTTGTTCAAAACTAACATCGAAACCGTACTCGAGACCCCGATATCAGCTATGGCTCACAAAGTTCTAGCAGGTCCCGATTTTCCCTACTTTTGGGCGTTCACGTAAGATGACCCGGCCAAGACCTTGAAATTGGGCATCATCGGCTTTCTCTCATCACGGGCAGCATTCTCGCTTTTCGGCGAAGCTCTACCTCGATCAGGGGCCGAAAGCATACCTTAGCGTTACGTTGGTAAAATCTTTACTTTAACAACGACCCGTAAAACACGAATAAGAGCTACAGCGACACAGAAAGCGTATTCGATAACTTTTTTAAAGCTCTTTCGCCAACTTCGCCTCAGATTTGACTTCGGGTCTATGGCTTGTGTACCACAGAGGCCAAACAGATAAGCGGACGGATTTTGCCGAAACATTTGTTCTGTGACAACCCATGATTCAAAGAATGTGTATGATATTCAAGTTATCACCATTCACCATCGTGTTTGTTTCGTCGAAACGCGTCGCATGGCTTACAATTTGAACTTAAAAACTTACCTATAAAATTTGACATCAGGTAAAGGTCATGTCGACCTGACCGGAAAAGAACCTGCTGCATATTGATCGATCTGTGTTGCTGAGCTGAACACACTCCAGGCAACCTGTCATCGCTCTACAGCGAATTCGTCAAAAGTTGTCGAAAATGTGTCAGATGACCAAATGACTGACCATTCGAGTCATCACTGGTCGTTAGCTGCACCTGTCCCTAAAGAGCCGAGGTGCCATGGCTACAAAAGTATCTAGCTTTTTTAGCATATTCGTTCAAAACAGAGGACATTCGTGCTTCATCCCATATCTTATCATGATGATTGGTGAGGTCACATATTTGACCTGACTTCACTTCTCAGATGTAGAATCCTAGAGTCATTGAATCCCAGAGTCAGAGTCATTGAACTGTTGGCACTTATAATCCCATTCATTACACCAAATTCAGACTTAAAGGAGATAATCTATAGGAATGACAAGATTGCAGTTTTTAGAGGCATTAAAACTGAACTTGACATGACATTGTGACCTGACTTCAGGTGACCTGTGCTTGATTTTTATTCCCGATGCCAAATTGATATACAATAAGATATACCGCCGCTGCGCGCCGAGGTTTTTCTCAACACACGACGAAAACCGGGAGTGTGGCTAAAAACACCCCTACCCATCAAGTCGAAGACCGGGAGCCCGACCCCTCCCCCCCCACTCAAAAATCCGTGGCGACGCCCCTCGATTGTAGGCTCTAACCACTACACTGGCCGGTCCGCTGTAGCCCGTCCACAACTACATAGTAGGACGGTGTCCTTGTGGGCCCTTAGAACCACTGGTGTAGGGCTCTCAGAGGTGCCGGTTGTGAACCCTCAGAGGCACTGCTGAGGGCCCTCACGGTCTCCGTTATGGGATCCTCAGAAGCCGGCGTAGACCCTGACGGAGATCTTAGTGTGGCTACTTATGGCCCTTTCACACGTAGCAACTTTTCAGTCGCCGGCGACAGCAGCAGTCGCCGGCGACCGCCAGCGACCGCCAGCCAACGATCGTGTGTGACGTAGGTATGACGTAAGCAAGTCGGTGGCGATCGCCGGGCCACGGCCGGGCAATCGCCAGCAACTGGTGACGTCAGATCCGCGTCACAGGCCAGTCGCCGGCGACTCTTCTCGAGCAGCGGACGCCGCCATGACAGTTTTGTCCTTGGTGAGTGGTTTAGGTGATTTGTGATGCATTTTTTTCCTAAATTGGTTGGTGTGGCTACCTTAAATTTGTTGCACAGTAGCATAGGGATTATTATCTTGTAGTTTGCTTGTCGTGAAGCTGTTGTGACTTGAATTTAAGCTTGATTCGACAATATTGGAGGGTTTATGTCATTTGTGGCGCACTTGCCCATGATCACCCATGATTTTTATTTGTGATAGGTAAATATGTATTTTTTCATCAAAATTGAATATTTCAATGACATTGAAATTGACACTAGTTTCATGAGGTAATGAAAACTTGCTTGTTGTGTCACAAGAACATTGTTTACATTCAGTATCAGTGCCCTTGAGGACAAAGTGCCTACCCATCAGTCAGCTATTTGCCTACCTATTCGTGCGACACAAGGAAATATTTGATAGCAACAAAATATTATATTGCTGCTCATTAATTAGCATGATCAAAATCAAACAGGTAGCTTTGCAATTTTGTTATTGTTTCTGCTGGAGTTTTCCTTGGTATCATGGATAAACAACCCAGGCCAAACTTAATCCGCATTGGGTTCGCATGTGTGTGCATGCTCACATGGCAAATGATAATCCATGGCTTATTAGTACATAAATAATTGCAGTATGCACGGTAGGTGGTAGGTATGTCATGTATTTTGGCAAGGTATTAGGTGGTATGTATTTTGGCCCTGG